TAGAAGCGAGTTGGATATAAAAAAAAACAATCACACACCATGGAGAAAAGAGAGAGAGAGAGAGAGAAAAAAAACAAAAATTGAATTAGTTGAATGTGATACCTTAAACAATTCGTTATGATAAATTGAGTTGCAAATTCTGGGATCTTGACGGAAAACGTATGGTCGCGGTGGAAGACGTCTATTTGCCCGTCTTACAAGCGTTTCTAAATCGTCAGTCGACATGATTGATATCGATTCTAACATATGCTCGCGAATTAAAATACACAAATATTCAACATAATGATTTCTGGAAGAAATGAACCCGTTGAAGTATCATTTTTGTGGAATGAAATATTGTCATAGAAAAATGTCATGTTTGAAATTTAATAGCGATTTCGAAAGTAATGAAATTCGACTTCGAATTTTGATAATTATAACATCCGAGATTACCTGCACAAACCGGCGCTATTCTCTTCAAGATCACCATTACAAACGGTGTCCACCAGACCACTTGGTGTTTCTTTTTGAATTGGAATCGGGCATAGCCTTCGAACACTATTCACTTCATTTGTGTTTGTTCCTGGAATGACTTCTCCAGGCTCGGTTGTAAATGGGATATTGTGCATCTGAAATTAGAAAATTGTCCACATGTTTGATACGTTTTGATAAAATCTCAATCGAAAACAATTCGAAAAAAAATGGTTTATTTCATCGTTGTGAAAGATTTGCTTATTTCTCACCTTTAGCAATGTTTGCAGATCCCTTGGCTCTTTATCACGTAGATAAAATAGACAATTTCTGGGATGATGTGAGTGTAAACCAAGTTTGGCACAATAATCCGATAGGCCACACTTGGCTCCCATTTTGAATGGTTTATTGCAGCCATAACAAAATTCATATTTGCACTGCGTACAGGTAAAATGCATGCATCCACCCCTGGAATATTGAAATTGGTCGTGAAAATGTCAATAGCTAACTGAAAGCGAAACAAAAAAACAGAGCGATTTTTTTTACCTTGCGAGTGAATACTTGAATTTACACTTTGGACAGGAAATTCCGTGCAATTGTAAGTGTTTTGAGACACCCTCCAATTGCTTGTCTGGATCGTTCAAATCTTTCCACTCAGAAAATTGGTCACAAGTGATTCCTTCGTGTTGTACTTCCCACTGGGTGATTCAAATAATTTTAGCTTCGGTTACGGCTTGTAAAGTGAATTATTGAACTTACCGTCTTTCTGCATTGAGCACACGTTACACTGCCACAATCTGGACAGATGAGTCGCTTTTGGCGCGGACGGGCAAAGAAGCCAGATGAACACTAAAAAATTAAATTTTAATGGGGTTTAATAAATGACAATACCATTACAAATTTAATGGAATATTACATATTCAATATTGATTTAATCTCATAATAAAATCATGACTCACCTCGACACACCACTTGAAATTGGGATCTTGCATCAGCGTTCTGTCTCGCAATTTTCTTTGAAATAGTTCATGCACATCGGTTTGAAGAATATTTTTCAATAAAATGTCCAAATTGGAGAAATACTCCAAGGCATCGTCTTCGGTCACCTCAGACGCATTGAGATCAGGTAATTTACAAAATGGACATGAACAGTCGGTAATACTTCGATCGGTAATCTGAAAATGCAAAAATGTTGTATGTTAATGAACCACATTCATTTAGATTTATTTTACAAACGTATTTTTACCTGAATTGTAAAATAATTTTTCGCGCATTCCTCACAGCAACTGTGCGTGCATTTCAACATGGAAACCATTTTATTCAGTGGATAAATTTCCGTGCACAGTTCACAATCCTGTTGCAATAGACGCATGGCTTGCTCATAATCGCTAGCTTCTGTAGCAGCCCAAACTGCAATGTCTTCTTTGAATTTCTGCTGAATCAATTCAGCGGCGAGTAGACCTTCAACATACGAAAATACTTTGCCTTCATGTAACAACTTCTGTGCCACTATCTGTAATTGGAATAGAATAACACAAAAATGATCGAAACAATTTAAATTAAGTTTTATCAAATTAACTACTTTGTTTCATTGACTGACCTCTGAATCTTCTTCGATATTCGATTCGACAATTTTCACTAAATTTGGAATGACTTTCATGCTGGTGATTGGTTTTTCATCGTCTGTATCTGTTAGATAGTTGTCGTCACTGAAGCACGTTTCATAGTATTTCTTTTTCGGAATGGATTGCTTTCCGCTGGATGTTGATGGTTTTGGCTGTTCTTGTTTGACTTTTTTAGGTACAGCCGTGCTTTTACTTGCTTCTGGACTTGATTTGAAGAACACTTTCGGTGGTACAATTTTCGATGGTTTTTTACTAACAAATTTGGGCGGTTGTTTCAACTGTTTATTGAATAATTCATTTTGAATATTTCGAATGCTGGCTGATGGTTCGCCCAGTGATGGACGTCGCACTGGGATTTTATTTTTCACTGTCGATTTTTCGGATGTGTTTTTCTTCAATTGCATTACATTTATACTGCTTGAACTGCACTGTGTTACAACGGGAACGGTTATCTTTTTATATTGATACGATTCGACTAATTTTTCGCTAGCCACCGAAACAGTTGACACTGATGAACGAATACTTACATCTTTGCTTGCTGAACTGTCTGATGCAGACACATCAACACTAATTTCGTCCATTTCTGATTCGGTATCGTTGGAGTGAGACACTTGATTATCAGACACTGACACCGATTGTGACTGTGATTCATCGTCTTTTGTTGATTCACTTTCACTTGCTTCGTGTTCGTTAACACCTGCGTTTAATGTGCTTTGCTCTGGTTCACCGTGAGCTTCTTCTTCTTCTTCAATTGCATCTGAGTTTGTAGCATCAAAGCTTAACTCTTCAGTTGGTTGTAAAATATTTTCTGGCTGACTATTACCACTTGGTCTAATTGGTTGAGGCACTATCTCACTTTCACTTTGGTTCACAACATTTGTTTCATTTTCTTCGATTTGGTCGTTGTTTGTGGTGCTTGGTTCGAGTATCGCTTCGATTATAGGTTCGGTTATTTGCTCAGCAGTTACTTCTACTACCGTTGGTTCAACTGTAGTTACTGTCATTGGTTCAATCGTTGACTCAGTACTTTTTTCTTTTTCTAAATTCTCTTCTCTCTTTTCTGTTTGTTCAGAACTATTTGAATGTTCAACATCCCTTCTTTCCTCAGAAATAATCTCTGGCTGATCTGGTGATTGAATGGCTGAACTGATTTGTGAATTAGCAAGTTGCGGCTCAACCGATTGTGATTTTTCTCTCAATGTAGTTTCGCGGAAGTTCACGGAAACAATCGATGATGTTTGAAGCGATTGTTGAATTTCCAACATGTGCTCCAACAAATTACCATCGACAGGAGGAACTATGGCATTAGCGTTTGGTTCTGGGGTCAATACTACTGAAACTGTATTTTGACTAGCAGAATTGTTTTCTTCCCTTTGAACATTGTTATTCGTATCGATTGAGGTTTGATCACTTGCATCGCTTGGTTGTAAAATATTCTCTTCACTTTGGACATTTTCCTCATTTCGGAAATGTTCTTCGTTTTGGGCATTTTCGTTAATTTGAAAATGATCTTGATTTCGATCATTTTCATCACTTTGAACATTTCTTTCATTTTGAGTATTTCCATCGTCTATTTCTTCATAATCTTCAACACTTTCACTGTGACCATTTTCTCGTGAATCAACTTCGCGATTTTCATCTACAACATCATCCAAAAGTGCACCATTCTCTTCATTTTCATCATAAACCAATTCATTTTCACTGTGTAAATTTTCCCGGGCTTCGACAAAGAATTCACTCTCTACACTTTGGCTACTGCGTTGAAAATCGGCATTGCGTTCATCATCGTAATGTTCACTGTATTCACCTTCTTCACTAATAATAGACTCATCGTCACTTATATCTTCCCAACTATCACTGAACTCACTTTCACCTTCACCCATTTCGTCTGAGTAAATTTCATCGCTTAAATACCCATCATTGTCACCGTCACCAAATTCCGACGCTGACATTGCAATATCCTCGTCAATTTCATTTTTCATTTGTTGGATCAAACTTTTTGTGTGCTCAACTAATTCGGATAAATTGCGATTTTTCACATCTTTCACCATTTCAATGCGATCGTTTTCAATAGAATCTATTTTAGGTGTTGATTCATCTGGTTGAGACTGAGTATTGCTCGAAGATGGTTGATTCATTAAATCTGGACTTCTGGCGACTGTTTGATTGTGCTCCTTGTTGTCGTCGACAAGTGCAGCTTGTTCGACGATTGACAAAGAGAATGTTTTCTCATTTGAAACGGATGGAATCATGATAACGTTTTCGATATCTTCTATGTCATCGGCAACAACCGTTGAATCGGATAAATAGTCCGTGTTTTGTGAGTCCGATCGATCAGTATAGAATGAATGGCTTCTTTGTGCTCTTTGTTGCCGCTTCAATAGCTTTTCAAGCTCACGAATTCTCCGTTTGTCAATTTGTTTCTGCGTAAATCGAGCACTTGACTTGGTCACAACAAATCGCGGTTTATTTGTTCGAGATTGTTGTGCGACTTCAACTTGCGAAGATGATGCTACCTCTAAAGGATGAGCATGGCCATTTTGAATGGGGATATTTTCATTTTCAACACTTTGAACTTTTCCACTCTGATTTTCCGCTAAACCAGTAATATTATTCGAAGTTTGTGACAATTCATTTTCGATTATTTCGTTATTATTTCCGTTGCTTTCATTTATGGCCACCTTTGGTTCAAGTGTAGCAGCCGTAGGCGCATTTGTGGCCATTGGTACTGTCATTGTTTGATCGGCAACTGCCGTCGATTGACTAACGGCTACTACTGGTTCAGCCTGACTCTCTGCCATTATTTCAATCGATTGCAAAGGCCCTGCACTCACAACATTCGAAGCCAAATCTTCCTGAATCCCGTTTATAATTCCTGTTTCTTCTTGCAACGGGAGTTCTTCCCTCCCGTTTTGGCCATTTTGTTCGGGTGTTTCAACGAGTTCTTTGCTTATCAATGCAGCCACATCTGGTACCACATCTTGAATATGCCTTGAAACGAAATTTTTCACATCTGTTTCAACATCTGTATTCTCATCAAATTCATTTCCAGCCTTTGATGGTATAATAATTGGACTCTTAACATGAATACGATCCAAATTATCACTATGATCTAACCCAGAGAAGCTCGAAGCACTGGACATTGATCGACTGGTGTGCGACATAATAATATTACCGACTAAATTTTCAATTGTGCTCAATAGAGTTTCGGTTTGTTTCGACTGCTTTTCTTCCATGCTGCCAATGATAGCTTCAATGTCTCGCAGAATATCACGCTTATCGTCATTCACTTGAGAGTCATTCTCCTTAGATGAAGTTTCAGTTTCTTGTGTTTGATTGTCTTGTTGAACACTGGTAGAAGTAGAAGGCTGTTCGTTCTGAATCGGAGGCTCAATTTCAGGTGCAGCTGGGGAGCTTTGAATTTTTAGTAAAAATGGCTTCATTTGTAACCGATTGAGTTCAGCCATTGCCATCTCTGAAATTAAAAAAAAATACTGAAAGTTATCCGAAACGAACGATTGAATCCAGAGCTTGGAACTATATAAACTTACCAACATTGCCGTTGTGGGCAGTCAAAGTGGAAACAATGTCTTCACGAGAATAATTGCCCTGCCCTTTAATAGTGTTGTATGCCTGTTGCCGTTGTTCAATACACTGAGTGACTGCATGCCATACGCTTCCTTTATTCTTGATCAACACTTCACGTGCTCCAGCCGATGATATTGTACCAACGATATTCTCTTTGTGCTCTTGGCCATACTTTGTTGCGAGCGTTTGCACCGTTTCAATTAACTTAGTCCAATTTTCATTTAGCCATGCCAATGGATCACCATCTGGACAGTTTGCCAAAGCAACTTGAATTTCATCGAATGTATAGTTGTTTGCGCCCTTTGAAAAAGTAAAAAAAAACGAAAATTTGGTTTTTTTTTCGAACAAGATAAACGCTTGTTTTTTCTTAATTTCTTTTCAAGAAATTCGAATCGAAAACTCACCAATAAAACTTTGTATAAATCCAAATCATTCATTGATCGACGGTTCTGAATATTCGAAGCAATGGTTTGCAATTGTATTGCATTTAGATGAGGTCCCTATAGAAAAATGTTTCAAATATAAAAAATTGTTTGGAAAATCACAATAAAAATGGTCAAAACGAGTATTACCGTTGGTAAAAACGGAGTTGTCGGAATTAAATGGTTGAGATGGTTATTATTGTTGTTGTTGGTATTTGATCCGATAAGCGTCTTTAAGCTCTGGTCAATGTAAGCCAATATATTGTTGTCTAATGTTGAACTTTGGTTTTGATTTTGGTTGTCTGTATGGGTTGGGAGAGATTCTTCTGTTGGACCTTGAGTGGAATGCATTGACGGTGGCTGGTCAGATGCCGGGGCCTCCTAAACAAATGTTTAAAAAAGTGTTTTTTCTCTGTTAATTATGAATGGGTTAACGGAATGGAATGGTGAAAGTGGAACCTGTACGACAATCCGTTCGCTAATATGCTCATGTGTGTCTTTGTGTGTATTCGTATTGTTTGCAGTGTTTTGTGAAAGTGTTTCATCGTCAACGTTTTTCTTGATAACGCCATCATTTTTTGATGGTATCGTTTCATTAGCCTGGGTGGATGAATAGACAAAGCGTGTTTTGAGATGGTTTTATGGAATGATTCCCGCTACACTAACCTTTTTCTCGGACCCACTCGCAACGGTGTGATTTGCAATTGGAATTGGTTGTGGCTCATTTTGAATGTGTTGCTGAGTCTGTCCTAAAATTTTCATAACTTCTAAATCATTATCGCTTTCTTCAACTTCCGATTCCAAATCCGATTCTTCAACTAATTCTTCTTCTTCTTCCACTCCCTCTTCATCACCATCAACATCATCCTCTTCTTCTTCTTCAATTTCTTCGCTTCCATTGCTTTCATAACTTCGAAGCTCAGAAATATCATCGTCCGATGTCGAAGCCATCCAGAAGCCTGGGATCATTTGGGCGAAAGAAAAATGCGCTTAATGGATTACATTCGCAGGTGTAAGGAGTGAGCAAATCACAAATGGAACAATAAAACATAAAACAAATAACAAACGCAATTTCGGTTTTTTTTGCATACTTTTTCTTGTATCAGTAAAGCATTTAGTTTTATTTTAAGAAAAAAAAAACAAACAACAAACACATTAAACGAGCAGACAAAAGTTATGAGAAAGAAAAAAAGACAGATATATACAAAATGGTAAATGGATCTAAAACATTCTGGCATTTAGAGTGTGTATTTGCTACGTGTAATTTCCAGAAATTGATGTTTAAATAAAGTTGTGTTTAGTGTGATTATCATCTAAATTGTGTCGTTTGTAATTCATGAAAATGTTGGCAACAAAAATTATGTCTAGTCATGTTTTATGCTTAGAAAAAGTTTGATTACTCTTGTGAGTGTGGTTTTACATTGGTGTAAATTTATTGTGAACATTTGTATGCTACGTTGTTCTGTGGTTTGTATGTCGGAACCGTGTTTTGTACAGTCTTGAAACATCACTTGTATTCATTTTTTTTGTGTATGATTTGGTATTTTGGTATCATTTAGCTTGTTTTGTGCCAGGCCAAAATGAGATTTTTCTCGAAATTTTTTTCGTCCTACCTTCTTTCTCCATCGAATCGTTAATTCGGCCATTCATCGGTGGTTTTTTCTCTTTCTCCGGGCTGGCTTGCTTTCGAATGGCCGTCGCCGATGGGGTTTTACAGCAAACGGCGCAGATTTTTACATTCGGTTCGTTGACAAATGTGCAGTATTCGCAAGTCCAATCATAGTCGGGTGTTTTTGGTTTACCTTCGGGAGCGATGTCTGGAACACTATTCAAATCGGCTTCACTCGGCTCTGGTTCAGTTTTGAGAGGTTCAGGTTCGGCTTTCGTCTTGGCCACTGGCTTTACAACTTTTGTAACCGTTTTGTTAGTTTGTTCAGTTGAAACTTTTGGCTTAGTAACCTTTTCCACGCTCTTTCTACGATCAACTGGCTTTGAAACGGTTTTTGTGGTTTTTACTGGAACTGTTTTGGACGTGGGTGATGCAACTGGTACAACTGGTACAACTGGCGCAGATGGTGTAGTTGGGATCGATGCAATCTTCTCAATTTTTGCTTTTATTGTTGGCTTCGGCTTCCAGAGCTCACTCGAACTTTCATCCATCGACGACGCTTGTGCAACTTTCTCAAGAATTTTCGCTTGAACAAGAGCTCGAGTACCCATTTCCGTTTCCGAATCCTGTGTCGAATCGGATCGAACGCGTTGAGATGGTCGTCGTTCAGATCTTGATGAAATCGACCGTGCCGATGAACTAGCTCGTCGTTCACGTGCACTTTGCCTGTATGTGCGACGTGCAAATGTTTCACTATCCTCATCAAAACTGCGCTGTGGAGAACTCTTCAAACTTTGTCGAGACGAACGAATCGATCTGCCGGCACTATCACGTCTATCACCACCCTTGCGTCGCATATCCAAATCATCTATGTAACTGGTCATACTCTCGGAACTCTCGTCATCGGTTGGATGCTGTTCCATGTAGCTATGGCGATACGGTAGATTTCTAGCAGAAACTGAAGATTTGCGCGATTTTTGGCTCAACGCCGGAGATGCAGCACGAGATGGTACACGCGAATGTGGCCTTGAGATGGGGAATGGATACGCTGTGGAAATTGAATGAAATTGATTGAATATTGAAAATTTTGAGCTTTAAATGAAAGAAAAAACAAATGATTCAATCCAAAGAATCTCACCATTCGGTATCATTCCAAAGTTATACGGATAACCGTCTGGTTTTCGATAGCTTCCATTATTCATCCATGTTGTACCGTTCATATCAAACTGTTGTGGATAAAATGGTAAATTCAAGCTCATATTTGATCCATTCAAATGTTTTGCATTCCATTGTGGCTCGGCTCCATGCGGGTTCCACAATTGCTGCTGACTACAATTCATGCACGGCCCTTGCTGAATGTGATTCTATCCCAAAGAAAAACAATCATATCAATTCAAAGTATTCAAATCCATCATTTGAATGAAACACTCAACACAAGTTAATTCCAAGAATTGAATGTGATTTTAATTACATGATACGGAAATGGTTGATTGGGCGCATAGCCCATGAATTGCGGTGGCGGACCAAATTGTTGCGGTGGCATTTGCCAATTAGCATTAGTGCGGCCATTGTTTAAGTCTTGCACGGATGAGCTGAATGCTCGCGATTGTGAATCGGATAGTGTGCCTTCATCCTGTGTTGTAATATCATCGAAATCGTTGAAATTTTGATTAATTTGAGCGTTGCCATTCTTAAAATGGCGCGGAAAATTGGAAAAACTGCCGGATCTAATTCGTGGGCCAAATGAATTAGATCGATTCGCTGAATTTCGATTGTCATTGTTAATTCGCTAAAAAGCATCAACGCATAAACAGAATATTTGGTTTAGCACAAAACAAAATTGTTGCAAAACAAAATTTAGTTTACAAACAGCGATGAAATCAAACATTTTGGAACCTACTTCGAAAGGAGATGCATTCATTGATGCTCGATTTGATTCGCTGTTTCCGCCCGATGTGTTCAGTGAATCTTGATACTCGTGGTACCGCTTTTGCATGATTTCCATTCGATCGCGCGCGTTGCTGGTGTGAATTTTGATGCGTTCCATTGCAAGAGATGGCAATTTAGATGAAGAGTCAGAGTTCGGCGTTCCCGGCCGTGAGTTATTGAATTGTTGTACTTCTTTTTTATTAGGTGAATCTGGTGATTTACTACCGGGAACAATCAACCGTTTAATGCTTGACACTCGCTCTCGTAATGATAAAGCCGGGCTTGGCGGCGCAACTGGTCGCTGTGGCAACGTCTAAACATGAAAAAAATATTGATAGAAAAACGATTTTTCTTGTTTAAATCCAATTTCAAAGGGATTTTTCATTAAAAATCCAATGAATTAGCCTCACATAATCCTTCCTTGGCAATGATGGCGTCATTCCGGTTTTCTTCCGTCGTGGTGGCGGCACTGGAAGCAAATAATCACCTTTCGGTGGCAACGGTGGCTTTATCTCCGGTTGAATAACGATTGCCTACGAAATGAATCATTTCAAATGAATCACACTTTTATTAACAACACGAGCGAACACACCGAATCGCAACACACCGGAATGTGTTTGACGTCTTACCTTTCGTATGTGTGTGTTTCGTTTTGGATGACGATGAAACATGTCGTCACACGATGAGCAGAACAGTTGCTGATTGCATTGATCACATTTTACTTTGGCAGACATCGACCCACACAGATCACATTTGATACCGTCCAGAGATTTGCTATCTAATTATATTTTCGTTATGAAAAATTAATCAACAAATTAACGAGATCATTAAGTGAAATCTATTTAAGAAAAAATTGTTTTCTAGCGTACTCGTAGCTTTGATGGGTTGTGCATTTGAGTATTGTTCATTAGAAAATTCGATGATTTCATAATCGGGATCTGGTGCAATTTTCTTCGGCGGCAACATTGGCGGCTTATCGATTTTCGTTGCACGACTACTCATTGTGAACACTGCAGCAGCAACAACAACAACGATGTGCGTTTATTTCAGAATCGCAAATTTATCTGTTCCGATCGACTGTTGACAACAAAGCGAATAAACAAATTGTATGATTTCTCTTTTTTTCTGTTCGCTTTTATTTGGCGGAAAACCTTTTTTTCTGTAAACACTTGTGGCTATCTAAAAATAAACGATCTGAAATCAATGTAAAAAGGGAAAAAGTAGGAAAAGCGTCTGTATTATGTTGAAATGGTTTGGCTTTGATCCAGATGAAAGAGTGAAAAAAAATCAAAACATTCAAACTTGAGTAGTTTTTTTCGGTCATACAAATTGGTATTTCAACATTGTACATTTCACTCTCGGGTATAAATATTGACAGGCGCTTAGCCAAATCGATCCCATCTCTATAAACACACACACATCATCTACGCTGTAGACACAAAGACTCGATGATAGACGATTCGTATGGTTCGTGTAATTATCACTTTAATGAACCGTTCGCTTCGACCGCTTTCTCATAAATCTAATTGTCACATTCTAACACTGAGACCATTCCCGAATGGGCATAGGTCAGATCTCATTGGTTTATTTTTAGAACGATGAACTAAATTTAGCAGTAGAATTTATCAGCAAATAGTGTTAGAAATCGAAAGTTTGAATTTTGTCATTTCATACGTGAAGTTCGTTTAATCGTCGTTTAGAAAGTGCTTTGACAAGCAACACACATCACATGCGCCACACAGTTCATTCGACGGAATTTAATTTGGGAGCATCGCACTGTGTCCATTCATTCAATTTTTCTCAAATCCAGAACCCGAATGAATAAACCACGTAAATTGCGCATGTTATGTTAAAATTTTGAATATATAATTCTGTGGCTATATTCATCGGCTCGTGTGTCGTCATGTTCGCAATTTCCTCTAAATATAAAAATACATATTTAACATTTGCGTTATTCTCATTCGCTCATTCGCTGCTGATGGGGATTTCGCGCAATCCTTTCGTCAACGTGGACTGCACTTTTGTGAATAGATTTGTATTTTCTTTACTCTCGCTTGTTGTTGTACTTTTATTTCGTGTCTTTTTGTCAAATAAAATATCGCTAAATAGAAAATAGCACACCGCATCATGTCTATTTATATAGCACGATCAAAACGGCCTGAAAATCCGTCATGCGACTACTCGGTACAAACTCTCACGTATGAAAACATCAACGACAATTGAATTGGGATATAACTAGACTTTTGAGCCGTCTTCGACGAAAAATGGGCGAACAAAATGTTGAAAATAAAATCAAATAGATGTTTCGAGACTGAAGCAACTTTTCTTTCACATCTAATCATTCACAATATTTCGAAATTTTTTAAATAATTTTCTTTTTTATTTGAATTAGCTTTCAATTGATCATCTTTCGAAGGAATTTAGAACCAAACTTCCTTCCGTTCATATCATGACCGTTTAAAATTAAATTTGAATTGATAATTTTATCCAAAAATCACTTAATGTTTTATTTTCATTTTTTTTAATCGTCTAATTTTAATTTAAAACTCTTGATTCATTTCTTTTCCACTCAACTACAGACAATTTAGCAAAGAAAAATTAAAAAGAAAATACCGTTGACGTATTTAACCGGAACAACGTAACGAGTAAGTGTCTCTCAGCGATTATCGAATCGAACTGACCACAGTTGAGATGGTGCTCATTGTATTTCGGCATTGCGAACTCACGCGAATATCACCGAACGACCAGAAATAAGGAACAGGCAAAGAGAGTAGAGAGACCATTTCATACACGCACAGCCGCTAAAAATAAACAAAAATTTGATATAACCGCCGAACGTGCACACAGGTTATTCGCAGTTCAATTTTCCGTGTTTACGCTCTTAGAGATAAAATTGAAGTAGAAGAAACGCTTTACTAGAGCGGCTTTAAGAAAAATTCCCTTTTACCTCACTATCGCAAAAAAGCAAAACATTTTTCTTGCAAGAAATGCCATGAAAAGTTATGATTACAATGAAAATGAATTCGAACTATCCGAAATTGTTTGAATGAGCAGCACATGTCTATTTATAATCACATTTTGCCGCAATTGTTCGTTATTTGATTTGAAAAGTTGCCAAAAAATATTTTGTCACGTTTCAAATTGTGCAGCTGTCGCGTTACACTGCGATTCATGTATTTCATATGGTCTAAATGAAGTACTTGACTTAAGACTTTGAAGCCATATCCAAATGAAAGTTTTCAGAATCTTTGTGATGAAGCTTGATAACACAACTTTTTTACTTCTGCGATGTGCGTTGGCATTTAATTGTTCCGATTTTGGAAAAACGCGATCCAAGAAAAAATGTCCCAAATTAGTCGACTGACTGAAAGTATAACTAAACGTGATTGTCTCCATACAAAACGCATGATTTCGATCAACTTATATTAGCCTGTTTTAGTTGTGCATCACTACATACAGTTATATACAACTGAGTGACTGTTAGTCATTTTATTTGCACACGGGAAGTAACGAGAGTAAGATTTCTTCTAAAGCACATGAATTGTTATCAACGTAATTCCAACGCCGTCAAAAGCGACACGTTCGACTTTCGTGAATGGTCTTCCATATTATTGTCAAATAGACTTTCTTTGACATGTTTCGCCTTGAATTTAACAAGCGTGTCTGGGGGCTGATCTCATTTTAAACATGTGTATGAACAGTTGAGTACTTTCTATAGTTGCGTAATATGCAATGCAATGTTGATAAGATACCATTGTGTGCATATTCAAACGCACAACATTGATCAGAAATATTTGATAAACACAGTCTGATATCCAAGGATTTGGAAAAAATAATTGATATGAGAACAATGAATGCTTTACTGAATTCAAATGTGGAGATTAAAATCGACATGCGTACATTTTCTTGCACGATTCGCATATTTTTTCGATCATTCGATTAAAGAATGGCGATTTTTTTACTGCGCAACATTGTATTACTTTGTGATTTCCCTGATAGTCATTGTTACCATTGCAAGTGCTATGACGGTACTTGAAAATATATATGACGCAACATTTTTAGAGATGACATTTTCTGTTGTTAAGCAATCGGTGAAAATGGCGCATTTCAAGAAATATAAAGTTCTACATGTAGAAATTCATCCATACATGGATGCAAAAAGTGTGTTGCACTATGTTAGTTGCATTTCGAGCATCAGCATTGGTTCAAGATGAGCCATGGAGTTGACTGCGACAACTTATTGCGGAGCCTATTTCTTGTCGGGAATTTAAATGATTCAGGAGCAAAGTTTTTCACGCACAATATTTTTTATTCATTAATATATTTTAATTCATGATCAACTACATACAATTGTATATTTTAAGATTTTTCCAACTGAGAAGTTCTGAATTACAATGCAAAAAAACTGCTACTAAAGTAACGGCTAAGGTTGAGCTAGAAAGAATGTGTGATCCTCCATTTGGAAGTGATGATTTAGTTACTTTGATACAGTCGAATCGCATATCAATTGGAGCAACGTCAAAATCTTTCAGCTTTTCGGACGAAGACAGTTTATCAGCCAAAGCATTGAAGTATTGTACAGAGCTCTTAGGGAATCTCAAGGTAAGTGTTTTCATATTTGGCTTGCTTTCTAAGAATTTCACAATGCTTCCGACTTCAATACCGAATTCCAAATGAACGTCAGCTTCAACGAGCTTGTTAACTTTCGATGCAAGCGCCAAAAGTGTTGAATTGTTCAGATTTCCTGCTGTGATAATAAGTGCCTCCAAGTCATTGTTCTTTCCAACGAAATCTATCCACACATCATCCAATTTTCCAACTGCCGCCAAATGGAGTTTTTTCAATTGTTTAAATGTAATGTTTCCCGATTCAATGTGTCGGTTAAGGTCTGTGATTATGACATTTTCGATATGCTCAAATTGAATTACTGGATCTTCTTGATACGATTTCAAATCTTTTGGCATGTGGAAAGCAAGAGTGTCTAGCTGAGGTAATTTTTTAACGGCACGAAGTACCTCCACCGATGTTGATTTCAAACGCAACCTTTTGATCTGTGAATTTCTCTGAAGGAAGCTCACAAAGGCGGACGAATTATTTACGTCGGCCTTTAATTCTTCCAATTTTGGAAAAACGCGATCCAAAATATAGCTATCCGAATAAGTCAGGTTCAGAACTTGCATTCTGGGAAAGAGTTCATCGAGTCCTAATTGATTGCTTCCAATTTTTTTCCAGACGCCCTCAAAAGCGAAACGTTCGACTTTTATGAATGGTTTCGTCATATTAGTGTGAAATGCACTTTCTCTGCTATCTCTAACAATGAATTCGACCAGCGTGTCTGAGCAATACCCATTGATATATGCTCTAATTCCTTGATGCTCCTTCAATGGAATTACATCATATGTAACTGACAATTTTTCGAATGATTTGCCAAAAGCTTTCAGAAACTTCTGCGCTGCCCCGTAGTGTATGTACATCTCGTCATGCCAAGTGGATATATCACTAAGACTGTGCTGTATTTTAATCGAAAATTGTCCATATTTCCATTTGAATAATGTGTTTGCTGCGCTCTGTGCTCGATCACTTGTCAAACTAACTTTCAAAAGTTCCGGAAGAGTCAATGATTCAAGCCCCTCTAATTGACTATCCAAAACTTCTTCGGCCAAAGAAATGGGAAAGAGAACACAACACAAAGCCACAACGATTTTCGACTTCATTTTCGTAGTAGATTTTAGCTAGGATCACATGAAGTCCAACAAATGAACTGACTAAATTTGATGAGAGCGGATCTCATTTAAATTTGTGGTCGAACATTTGAGCGCTTATGATATGCACGCAATTTTGATAAGATACCATTGTGTGCATATTCGAACGCACGATTTTGATCAGAAATATTTGTTAAACACAGTCTAATTTTTAAGCGATTGACATGGAAAAAATTGCAAAATAGTTGGAGATATTGTTGAGATTTATGTTTCAAATGAATTTTTATTTTTAAAAACAATTTTGATATGAGGACAATCGATGCTTTACTGAATTCAAATTTGAAGATTAGAATCGACATGTATACATTTCCTCGATCATTCGTCTGGAGAGTGGTGTCTTTTTACTGAGCAACATTGAATTACATTGTGATTGCCCTTACAGCCATTGTTACCATTGTAAGTGTTAGGGCTGTACTTGAGAATAAAAATGACGCACCATTTTCAGAGGTGACATTTTCGGTTGGAGCGGTGACATTTGCTGTTGCAGAGGTGACGTTTTCTATCGGCAGCGGCGACGAGCCTAATTTCGTTATGCCTATTCGACAAAAATCCTTATTCATAGCAACGACTGTCCATTGATTTTTCAATAGTTTCCCCAAGAAATTGGTGAATAAAATGGAGCATTTCGTGAAATTTAAAATCGTTTTCTTCATTTGTGGATTACTTTGAAGAAAACTCTCAACAGTTCTAACTGTAACACTGGAATCACAGCGAATATCGGCTTCAACCAAACCGTTGATTCTCGCTGAAAGTTCGGTTAGAGTTACGTTAGTTAAAATGCCATTTGTTATTATCAGTTTTTCTAACCCTTTGTTAGCTGCGATGAAATCCATCCATATGCCATCTATTTGCTCATTGATAGCCAACTCCAGTTGCTTTAGTTGTTTGAATGCAATTGTTTGTGTCCGCATTTTATGATAACTACCTCTGACTGTAACTTTTTTAATATGTTCAAATGTGATGTTAGGACCTTGATAAGACTCTATGTCTACTGGAACGGAGAAACTAAGAATGTCTAAATTGGGCAGCTTGTCGTTCACCGTTTGCAGTTGTTTCATTGAACTTGCTGCTAGTCGCAGCAGTTTGAGTTGGGGATTTTTTTCGAAAAAATTTCGGAAATCGACCGAAGGATCTACAGCAGTATTCATTTCGACTAAGTTTTTATAATGGTAATCCAAAACATGTCCACCAGAATGGCTAGTCAAGTTTAAAACTCGCATCTCTGGGAATAACTCATCCAATCCCATAGCGTTCTCACTCAAATTTCTCAATAAACCGTCGAAAGCAACGCATCCAACTTTTTTAAACGGTTTTTTCATGTCATCAAATCCATTTGCCGTAAAATACTCCACTCGAAACTCTACAAGTGTCTCCGAACAGTAAGTATTAATCCATTTCCCGATTTCTTTGTATTTTGCAGACAAACTAAAAGCACAATTAACTAATAAACGTTCAATTGATTGTCCAAAGCCCATCAGAAATTCGTATAATATATCAGGACGAACTGCCAAACGGTTTCCGATGACTCCTATATAACGATTTTCTTGCAAATTATCATATACTGCGACCGTTAAGTGACCATAATTTAATTTGTATAATTCGTTTGCTTCACGATTATTATCGTTACTCTTTTGGCTGAATTTTAGGAGTTCGATGATATCTTGTTCAACCGTTCCAAACCGGGTATTTGCTTTAGATCCATTTTCCACCGAAGTGGAATCATCTATGAGAAAACAGCACGAAATAATAAAAATTCCGAATTTCATATTAGCACAAGACTTTGGTACACTTTGATATGGAATGATCGAGATTGAAAAATCAAAAACTAACTAATTGACTTTCGGTAGCGTAACCAAATTTATTGCTTAATGGGAACAGATGCGTGAACTATTCTATCTTATCACAATCGTTT